CACCTGCGGAGCTACCCGGGCGCCGCCATCGACCAGCTGCTGGCGCTGTCCGTGCTGTGGGCCAACCACGTCTTCCTGGGCTGCAGGTCCGCGCCCGCCCGGGCCCTGGGGCCTACAGGCTTCCCCACCGCGAAGGGGGGGCGCGCTCGTGGCCGGGGGGTGAACTTCCGGGGTGCCGCGTGGCGAAGCGCAGCCAGGAGGGCGCGGGGGCGGGGGCGAGGGCGGCGGGCAGACCCCCGGGCGCTGCCGCGGGGCGGGAGGCTCGGTGGAAAGAGCTGTGCGAAGGACTCGCTGTCTTTGCGAGGGGTCGGGAAGAGAGCCAGCATCTCCAACAGGCGGTTGCTGCCAAGGAGGGCTTGGCCTCCGCTCAAACCAGTGATCGGTATCCAGGGCTGCCAAGGGGCCGAGTGTCGGCCGCGGCTGGATGCCGATGGCAAGGGGTGCTTGGCTGCTTTTGCAGTTCGTTCAGCCCTATCGATGCCCGGGTGCAAGGAGGGGGTGCTGGTTTGGAGTTAAAGGGTGAAACTCCCCTGCCCCCTCCCCTTGCTTGCCCTGGGCCGGAGGGGGTGGGGATGGCCATCCGCTCCCCTGCCCCCTCCCCTTGCTTGGCTCTGTGTGTGGTGTCCTGTCCCGTCCCCCTCCTTACTGAAGCTGCTGTTTCTTGTTCTCCCAAGCAGCAGTGCAAGGCTTCGCTGCTGCTCACCAGGGTCTGAGCAGCGATGCCAGAGAAGAGGCTGATCAGCCTGGTGGTGCAGGAGTGTCTTTGCAGGTCAGGCTATTCAGAGCTCTCTCTTCATATGTAAATGTAAGATGGGATCTGCTCAGGCCTCCATACCTGGCTGGGGAAGTCTCTGGACAGACCAACAGGGGTGTCTCTAAGCCAGCTTCTGGGCTGGACTAGACCCCACAGTGCCATGTCCTAGCTGCACACTGCATGTGCCAGCCCCTGGGGCTGGTATGGGACATACACTGCTCATGGGACGTGAGCTGCCCCCGGCGCTGCAGGCAGCCCATGTCCCAGATCCCCTGGGCCACGTGCAGCCTGTGCACCATGGGCAGCACGCATGCCCAGGCCAGCCCCCTGTGCTTCATATAGCACACGTGGGTGGTCCAGTGCCCTGTGCTGCCTGCAGTGTGCACAGGGTTGGACCCAGTCCACTGGCCCGTGAGCCAGACCCAGCCTATGAGCCGTATTTTTGACACCCCTGACTTAGAGCACTGTAAATGTACTCTAAACCCCAAGAGTGTAGATGTGCAGGCTGCTTTAGACCTGTCCTCCTCAAACTGGTTCAACGTCATGTGAGGACACCAAGCATTTGGGGCCTAGTGACTGGTCAGGCCTCCAAGCATCCTGGAGCGCACTGTTTCTCAGCCCCCGAAACCCATGAAGGGCAGTGGGGGTCCTCTGGGATGCAGCCACGACCCCTGTGCCCAAAATGTCTTATTTGGAAGGGTGGGGAAGCAGAAAGCCCCTGTAGCAGTTTCACTTCCCTGCTAGGGACCCTGGACGGGCATCCTAGGTTTACTTGGGGTGATGAGTGGTTGTTCCTATAACAGTAAATGTCTGTCAGTTGCTGGATGGGGGGGATTGGGCAGGGGCATGAAACGGTTGTTGCACAATGGTAATGGAACAGTGATGTTGTAGCTGTGATGGTCCAGAAATTGAGAAGCAAGGATTTCTTAGGGTAGTATCTTTTATTGGACCTACTGTATAGTTGGGATAATTAGACAAGCTTATGAATGCAAGACATTTTTCAGATCTGACCAGAGCAAGTGGCTGGTTCTGATCAGGCCTGAAGAAGAATGTCTTTCATTCAAAAGCTTGTCTAACTCTATTGGGCCAGCTGTATAGCTGGGATAAAACAGATCTCCCGAAGAAAGCCTTGCCTCTTGTGCAATGCCTGTCTGTTCCCTACTCCATGGGAAGTGAATTAGCTCATTAATTGTTAATTGTTCCTTTCCCTTCTGTGCTGCACTCCTGCAGCCATCCCCACCTTGCAGGTTCCACCCCGCACACATCTCTGTGCAGTTGCTGGTAATGCAAGGTACTTGAGTGGTTGGAAAAGCTGGGGAGTTCTTGGAGGGGAAGGGGGCCCAGTGCACCCAGCCCCCTGGGAATTATGATCAAGGAGTCACACGGGCCCCGTCAGCACCTGGCAACCCCTCCACTCCGACCTCCTGCCCCAAGCTGGGCCTTCTCCCCCTCTAGGGGAAACCTAGGGAAAGTCCAGGCACTAACCCCTGGGAGGCATGGTGGTTTGGGTACTCTACCATCCCCGCTGGCGTGTCAGCAGCCGTGCAGTGCCTAAAAGGTGAGGAGTCTATCGAGAACCCTTAGCTCTGTACGTGTGAACACTTGTGAATCGGTTCCCAATCAGTGACATTCTTGGAGTGGTTCAGGTGTTAGGTCTGTCTGCACCTTTGGGTGCTACCAGACCTCATAGCCACAGTAATGAATTCTGCTAAATACTTCAACATCAGCAATCTCAGACAGGACACGAGAAGAATAACCACAGTAACGAAAAGGCAGTTCAAAGCCATTCATTTACAGTAGCGTTGGTGGTTGGAACCCAATGGTGATTTTAGTCTTTGCTTTGGAACTGGCCAATCCTCTTCTTCATTGAAATTCCAGCTGCATGGTGGAACGGTCTTTTCTTTTTGTACTTTAATGGGAAACCTACAGCTCCTGGTTCCATTCAATGTTTAGAGGCTGCCTTTGGGGTTGGAGGGGAAGGATGGACTGTTTAACTTTTGCCATCTAAGTGAAATGATTATAGATCCCAGAGGCTATGGGAGGTCTTGACAGTTGTGGGATACCTGGAAACTTGCTGTGCTGAGGTTGTATGCATCTACGTTGTCAGGAACCATCTGTGATCTTGATGATTTTGCAGGGAGGGTACAGAGCTGGGGGTTACTGACAGGGTGTCGTTGTCATGTCACTTTTGTTGCTGTGAAATGAAAATGTTGCAGGTACATTGCTGCTAATGATAACAGTCAAAAACTGCTCTGTGAAGTTGTGCACGTTACTGAAAAGGAGATGAGTCCTTTGGTTGCTGGCTGAGGTCAGTGTTGGAGACCTGTAGCAGGCTGTCACTAAGCTTTTTGTCCATGAGCCATTTGATTTTGGCTTCCTTCTGCTGGATTACAACCTGGCAGCCCTCTTTATCCTGCCTTTTCTGCTACCACTTTGCTTTCTCTGAAGCAGTATTAAATTGTACATTTCACTTGCAACTGTATTGAAACATGCTGCTTGACTCCCCCTGATTTTAAAACTGTTCATGTGATGAACAGGGATCTGGGTTTTCTGCTTTTCATGGGAAAACAGATAAAATGCGGATTTTTGTTTTTTCATTTTAATGGAGAAACACACCAATTTTCCACTTTTGCAAAGAGCTGTCTGCAGGCTGGCAGAGTTCAGCGGGAGCTGGAGGGGGGCAAATCCCCCCCCCCAGATTTGTGTGCAGGATGGGCTGTGGGTTCAGGCTCCCCACCCTGCTGCCTTTCCCCGGAGCCTTTATGACCTAACAGGCGGGACCTGGTGTGGCAAGGCAAAGTGGGGCCAAGTGAGGAAGCTCCACTGCTAGGAGCTCCGCACTGCCATGGCAAAGTGCCATCTACCCACCTGGCGGCAGCAGCAAGGGGCACAGCCCTGCACTACCACCCCCACTGTTGCTGGGCGGGCAAGGAGCGCTTTGCCAGGGCAGTGCAGGGCTTGCAGTGGAAGGAGTTTCCCTGCCCAGCCCCGCTCTGCCCTGCTGTGCCACATCCCACCTCTTGAGCTGCAGAGGCCCCAGGGGGAGGGCAGCAGGGTGGGGATCCCAAGCTTGCAATGAGCAGCCCCCCCCCCCCCCCCCCCTCCTCCTTGCGCTTCACTTTGTGTGTC